GATACTTTGTCTGGAATTGAATTACACCACAAGGTGTGAACTAATTCCAGCAACTTGATTCTTGAGTTGAGGAGTTAGAGTAGTAAGAGGATGATTTGTGAACTTTTTGAGGAATTGAAGTATGGAGAGGGTAATGTTTTAATACACTGAAATTTTCTAGAGTTATAGGGGATCATAAAACATAAGCAAGAGAAACAGATGAGAAGGGAAGATAGGCAAGAAGATAATGACAGAGAGGACCTAGCCAGACAGTTTTCACATATCTTGGGAAAAGAACACTGGAGGCAGGTTGAGTTATTTAGACTGCTGCTTGGGCAGGGGAGACCTAGTGGAGATGTGCATTCCATTCATCTGAATGGTTCTTCTAGTAAAAACATTGCTAGACACAAGCACAGGCCAGGAATGGCAAATGATGAATGACTTAGCAAGCTATCTTGCTGGGTATTTAATCTGTGTGGTTATCTAAATAATTTGAAATGCTTCTCTTGGCCTGAGCCAGGCTGGACAAAATGAAGTGCCATGCATTAAACCTTGTGCTATTTCAGTTCTCAGGTCCCAGCAGGAACCCAACAAGATATGGCTCCATGAAAGGTGATACTATATTAAACTAACAGTACAAGTTGTATCAAACTTGGTTCCAAATTCAATACAAAAACTCATGGCTTTAGAAGGCATTTTAAATCTAGCACTAGCACTTCAGTCACTTGCTGATGTCAGTACAAAAAAAGAGTTTTGTACAGCTGCTGAGTGCAAGGAAGATGAGAGGTTAAATTGGGTTAGCGGAAATGAAAGACGTGCTGTGGAAAAAGTTTTGGTATCAGATTGTTTATGGAATTTCTCATTAAATAACAGAAGTGTTTAAATTGGAGGGCAAATTTACAGCATCCCTTTTTATAAATTTTTCCCTATTTATGTGCAATTGAAATTATTTACAAAGGTGTACAAGGAAACATTAATTTCTTTCCCACTTAAAAAGGAAAGATGATGGCAAATCCATCTTAGTCTCTTAGTGTTCAAGCCTTCTTGAGCTCAGGCCTGAGCCACCGGTGTGTATTAAAATAATTCTGCTATTCTTACTACAGTTGATTAGAGTGCTCTGTTATAAAGGGTGGAGGCACTTGGTGGTTCTCCAAAGAAAGTGAGTAATAATTGACCTAATGTACAGAGCACATGAATAACATATTCTTTTGGTAAGAAATTTATGTTTTACAGGGTGTGCTAGAGTTCACATCCCTTTTTCACATCTTCCAAAAGATTTTAAAATACTCAGCTGCTCTATTAAATTTCTAATTCAACAAATACTCAAATACAAAGTATGCATTAGATAAAGCTCTTGAGTTGAATCCAAACATTGAAAAATCTTTTAATCTGCCTTGAAAACAGCTGTTTAGAATTTTGAGTAGAAATAACAACTTCCTGCAGCCTACGTTGTTGATGTCCGTTTCAGTTCAAGCTGGGAGGAATTTCTCTTTGTTACTCTGCAGCAGCAGCAAGCCTTTGCATCCATGATTCGACTATCCCTCAAATATATTAGGACTGGTATCCTGGTCCTCTTTGAAATAAATGAATGAGTAAATACACTTCCTTTGAATTCAGCATAATGGAAGAGAGACTTAGTGAGAAGACTCAAGATAGTTTTGAGTGGGAGTTGTCTGGAGTGCAGCTTACAGGAGCTCCTTTTAACATCTCCCACTACTGAGAGACTGCTGCATGTTTGTCTGCTGAAGGAATTCTTGATAGGAGAATTGAGTTTTTTAGTGTCTAAAATTATTTAAACAAATTAGATGGGGTTTGTGCATATATAACTTTTATTCTTTGTTCATAAATATTTAGGTAATCTTATAAAATGCTGCACAGTGATTTGGCATCAAATACCACAATACAAAATTTCTAGGCAACTGCCCATTGCATCCCAGGAAATACCAAAAGAGTTCAAGGTGACTGGCATTTCAATGAACATCTAAAGCAGTAATGATTTGCCACTTAGTGTAAACTGTTGCCAAAACCCGGCAGGGAATGGCTTGTGTTTATTCTACAGCCGATTTTACTATGTCCAGAAGGCAGATCATACATGCATTTCACACACACACACACACACACACACACACGCACACACACGTGCCTGGATCAGTTTTATATTCAGACATTTGGGCAGTACTTTAAACCCAAAGTCTTGGCATTGTTCAGTGAAGTGAAGCCTGGATGGAACTTTGCAGTGACTTTTGCAGTGATCCAAAACCTACTCACATAAAATAAACTGGTGCCCAAAGACCTAAGTGGGCTTTGAATCAGGAGTCAGAGACCTGGTCAGATCTTGTCAGCCAGATTTCAATAAGGGATTTCAGGATGATGAGTGAGAAATATTCTAGTAGAGTAAATATCAAAGAAAATCAGTACAGCCTCTTTCAGTTTTATAAAATACTGTTCTTTTCCTTTTGGGCTTACATGCTACATACACATTCTTTCATGTGATATTTTAATTTCTAAAGCACTTTTAGAATGCATGTGTATTAATGAGCATTGATTAATGCTTAGACAAGCTTGTATATGTGTCCTCCAATAGCCTCTGATGAAGTAGTCCTTTTAAATCTAAAGGAGATATTTGCATTTTAGTAGTTTTTAAGTTATGCTCAAATTTGAAAAGATGGAAGAGTTTTGGACTTTCCTTTTTTGCTGAGATTATGTCCTTGTGTCTTTTTTTTTTTTTAAATTGGTTGTTTTTATTCAAGTAGTCAGTGTTGTGTGTGGTTTGCAGTGGGGGGATGTTGATGCAGAGATGCAGTGCCCAAGATGCCTGTGATTGTCCACACCTCTTCCAAAGTGGAATGAGATCACAGCAGAGTGAGATCCCATCACAGATAGAGATCACAGCTGCCCTGCAGAGGGACAACCTGATGCTCACGTGAAAAATAACCAAGATCACTTTTGTGAACAGGGCTTTAATCAGCTGTTTAAAAGTTGCTGATCCAATTTCAAGTTCCTAATTAAATGAAATGGGAGGAAGAAAGAGATCAGCATGGTGCCAGGCAAGAGTTCCAATCCAGTGGTTATCTCATTTCATATGTGTGGGCTAAATATCATTATAACTTAAGCTTATAGTATATTCACACACTAATAAAATGTTCTTATGTAAGGGTAGTTTAACCACCACAAGCTTATTTTATTTTATAAGACTAAACTATTTGATGCTCTAAAAACATTTTTCTCCTGTGAATGTTATTTATCACAAGTGTAGTTGAAACCTGAAACTTAATTATTAAAACAGATATTCAGACCCTTTCCTGACAAGAATGATGTGGATAAAAGACATTATTTCTGGAGAAAATCCTGCTTGCCTTTTGGATATAGTGAAAAATATTTCTGGTAATCAGTAGGAAGTTTTCTCTTCCACTGAAGTGTCTTAAATTATGAGCTTTCTACTGTTTCCTGAGAATTTTTTAAAAGCCACCTAAAAGTTTTCCCACAGTGCTGGTTTACAAGCAGCTGAAACTTTAGACACCATGTAGAACAGTCTGTTGTTCCACTAACATTTCTGTAAGTGACTCACATATGTATTGATGACCACCTAGATTGCTAAATGTACCCATTCTACAAAAAATTAAAACATTTTTAGGTACAAATTTGAATTGGCACTGCATTTGCTAAACCTGGCACCTTAGGCAGATGGCAGAGGTCTCACAGAGGAACTTTAAACTGTGTTATGCTGCTCTCTGTATGCTCCCCCTCACAACTCTTCCCTGCTCTCAGCAGTAGGAAAGTGCTCTCTCTTCCCTCTTCCATCCTGCTCTCCTTCCCCTCCCTCCTCTTACCTTCTCACCTTGTCAGTTGTGGGAACCCCAGGGTGCTGCCTGGCACATACTGCTCTCTTGCACTGAGTCCCAAGCAGAATTTGACTTGTAATACATGAAGTATCATCTGTCCCAGCTGTGAAGCTCTTTTGGTTTGAGGGCAAAGGAGTTTAATGAATCACTGGCTTCCTAATGGCTTGGTACTTCATTCAAAGCCCAGTGAAGTTAAAAAGAAAAACATATTCAGGACTTTTGGTGGTGTGGAGCAGGTCCTATATCCAGAAAGGCAGGGTAAACATTGAGACACTGCCTACACCTGAATTACCTCGTTGCTGTTCTTTCTCTGAGTCCTGATTCCTTGACAGGATTACCTGTTAATTTAAATACCTGGTTTGATGCTGATTTACACCAGGAAGGCTTGTTGGGGAGAAAAAAAATGAACAGGCTGCACTTAGTCTGTTTTGACTGTGAAATGAAGCTTGTTCTTCTCAGAAATAATTTTCATATATATATATACATATACACATGCATGCACACACCCCTTACTGCTCTTCTTTTAAAAAATAAGTTTTAGTTCTGAAGATAGGAACACAGTTAGACCTTGTCACAGTTTATTCTAATCCACTCTATTGTTAAATTATTATTCTTTTAGTGTAAAAAATATTTCAGAAGATAGCACAAGTTTTTTTACTATCTAGTAGAAATCCTTTAGTAACAGTTTCCAATGTTGTTCTTATTCAATACAGCTAATTTTATTTCTTAGAGATGGATAGATTAGGAACTGCCTAATTGAACAGATAAGCAGTATGTTGTCACTGCTAGATTAGGCCATTCTTCATGTGGTTTGTTACACCTTTTTTGTCTTATATTCTCATTCATCACTGGCCTGGTGTTTGTTTTTTGTGATTTTGGATTATGACACTGAACTATATAAATGATATTGGGGTACATAATTTGTACTTTGTCATCCTGAATGTATCAAAGTAGAAAACAAATATAGATATCAGCTCTACAAATGTGAGGAAGATGTCTTTTGGGAAAATGGATGGTTAATATCTGCAATTTGTTTAGTCATTGTTTATTCATATTTGGCCACCCAAAGATTCTAGTGGATAGTGTTCCAGAGTGCATAACCAGATGTGTCAGTGAGGTGCTCACTCTGTTGCTGGGAGGTTCTCAGGCATCTTTTTGCATCTTGCTCAGGGCTGTTGTTGGAGCCCAGTGCTGTGCTGCTCCTGCCCGTTCCCCCTGCTTGCTGCAGGTCACCCAGCTCCTGGGTGCAGGATGCCCACCCTGCTCCATACATGGATTCCTGTCCTGGATGGCTGTGGCTGCCTGGCTGTTCTCTGCTGCTTGGCTCTCTGGCCCTCATTTTTCCCTAGCTGGTTGGCCAGCCTGACCTGGCAAACTTCTCTCTCCTGGTTGGCAGGTGAAGCTCTTGGGCTGGCCAGCCTTTTCTTCCCTTCCCTTCTCTTTTCTCCCCTTCTCACACATGGTGTCTGCTGGCTCCCACTGTTTATCTCTCCTTGTCTCTGTGCCTCCCACTCATTTCTTAGATTTGCTTTGATCCCTCCCGTCTTTGCTGCCTTCCTGTTTTTCGTCCCTCTGCTCTTTTGCTGTTTTGCTTCTTTGTATCCTTGTTTCCTTCACACTTGTTCCCCGAAGGCTTTTTGCTCTGGCTTTCCCCTACCTACAAGCAGTATGTATCTTTTCCAGAGCTTGCTGTCTCTCTTCTGTCTGCTCATCTGGTCTAGCAGCCACATTGTTTGAAACAGTTACTAACAGGACATTGATTTGTGTTACAGCTTGGAGAAACTGTAATGTTTATCACTTTTTATTTACTATGGATATTTTTATAAATTCTTTATAAATCTAGTCTGTGCTTCCATAGAAACACCCACAGTAAAACCCCAACTGAAGCACTTTATTGTGCTTCTGTGCCTTCCCCCCCCATAATTGTGGATTATCAAGTATCTGTGTATTCTCTATAATTCACTGTCATCTCCCTTAGGACTCTTAGAAATGTCACAACTTGCTGTTTTAATCCAGACATCACAATTATAACTCTGGTCCCACAAACACTTCATTATATTAGTGTGGAATAAGGACTTTTGGGTGATCACAATGGTGGGAAAGGAAGTGCAGAGAAAATTCATGGCAGTTGAAAATGTGCTGCTGTAAGACCCTATGAGAGAAGGCAAAAATATTTCTGGTCGTTCTTCTCCTGCTTATTTCGATATTCGTTCCAGAGACCTTAATCAGACACAGTTCTGGGTGATGCTGATTGAAGTTTTATCTGAATTAGGACTGGAGAAGCAGATTCCTATTATTAGATGCTACATGTTAGATGTAGCACACTTGATGTAATATGTGGTTAAACTCCCTGTAAATATCTACATTTTTTGTCCCTATTTAAATCAAACCTATTTTTCAAGTGTGTCTTTTTCTCTCCACATGTTTTTATTCTCCCTAATTATGAGGTAACCTAATATCATAAATTACTCTAAATACTGTTTAACAAGTCAGTCCCTAATGGTAACTGCACAACCTTGTCAATGGGAAAATACTCTTATGCTCCCATATGTGTTTTCTCCTTTCATGACAGAAATAGGAATCTCATGTGAGAGGACATTGCTCCCATGTAGCAGCCCATTCCCTTCAAGTGAATATCATCAGTCCTTCTCCTCTAACATTTTAAAAGTTTTTGGGTTGCTATTACACATGTGTATAGATATTTTTCTGAAAAAAAAAAGTTCATAGCATCTATTGAGTTGGAAAATTAATTAGACGACCTAATTGATTGTGCATGAGTTCCTCCATGGAATGTGTTCTGCTGCTGTTGCACTCGACCAGTACAGAAAATCTCCTCGATGAGCAAATTCCTCTCTCTTTTACTAGAAACTGACAATTAATTGAACATTAAAAACCCTCATAAAACACCACAAAAAAGAAAAAAACCCAAACCAACCATAAAACCTTGAAGAATCATAGCACAAAAAACTTTACATGAAATTTCTTTTCTCATTTTATTAGAGTAATGCCAAGAGGTCTGAACTCAGCTTGAGGCTCCCTTTATCATTCAGAAAACATACAAGTCTGCATCCCAAAGCCTGTGTAGTCTAAAGAGGAAAAAGCCCCACCAGCATCCAGAAGTATTGGCAGCCCCATGTTCTATGTGGGGAGTTAATATACAGGGAGATTAAGTCACTTGTGTAAGGATGTACTGGGAGTCTGTAGCAGAGTCTGAAACTGAACCCGGGTCATCTCAGTCCCAGCCAAGTGTCTCAACCACAAGACTCTCCCTCCTTTTCAGTATGTCAGTGTAGAATGTAGGCCAAAAAGCAGCTTCCAACCTTTAATACACAGCGTTTTGCAAGGCTGTGAAGTATTATGTATTAGACAGGCATCTGGATCAGCAGCAGTTTCTGCAGATACTTTTATCTGTAAACAGAAGCAAAGCCTGTAAGGGCTTTGTAAAATTTACATAAATTATTATTTTATCAATAAATAACATCGTTAAATTTATAAAGACTGTACTTAAGATCAGCGCATTTTAATGATTTTTAAGAATGGAAAATGTGTTTAAGGGACTTCTGTTGTCTGTGGCTCTCTGATTGTCATGTGTTTTAGATTCCAGTGCTGCTCATCCATCATGCTGCATTAGCAGTGATGTGTAGCTGGGCCAGGCTGTGCAGGGTGCTGCACCACGCAGTGCAAGCTCAGGGAGGGAGGCTCGGGTCGCATGACAGGCTAACGCTCCAGTGTTATGCAAAGGTTAAGTATTCCTGTGTTGGGAGTTAGTGAGGCTTGCAGTTTGCTGACCTAAATCTGAGTGATTCCTATTATGTTGGGTATTTGCTTATCTTTTGGAGCATCTCTGTGTAGCCAGAGTGTAACAAAACTTCAGCTTGAATCTGTACCCTGAATGGAGGAGGATAAAAGAAGTGCAACTATGAGTGAATATATGTAGATATATAACCATCCCCCTTCTTCAACTGGGATCTCCCATTTTGGGCATGAAATCAGCATTAGTGTGTGGTGGTCTACAAAGAACAGGCCAGAGCTTGTTTGTTCCCTTCAGTACACTGGTTAGTTATTCACAGACACCTAGCTTGTTTGCTGCACCCCTGTTTCCTTTCTCCCACATCCCCCAAATAAAAATTACTTATCTAGTTCTCACTGGCTCTCATGTATGTTCTGGAGCACCACTTTATGGCCTCCATTATTTGAAACCATTAATGCCAGATGTTGTGTGCATTTACACAGATAAATTTCAGTTATTGTCATGGAAAAAAACAAAACAGCTTTGATGAGATTTATGCAGCATGAAGATGAGAGAAACCTTGTTTTCTAAAATAAATTATGTGAAATTATTCAGAATGGTGCTCAGTGTAATGGACCATTCAGTACACACGACAGTTTTCAGGATTCTGATGCTATTCCTTGTAAGCACATAATCAGTAAAATAAAACTGGAATGTGTCACTTTTGGCTGAACCACTGTGGCCCAGCTTTTGACAAGAAGCCTCTGAAGCTGGGTGGGTCTCTCCTCCCCAACACCTCCCCCCAAACACTGGCTGTTTTCTGTGTGAGGAGTGTTCATGCAGGCAAAGGCAATGGCATTTCCTCTCTGAACGATCGTTCTCTCATCAAAGTCAGTGAGTCTGACCTTTCCCTTGTAACTGGGACCTGGGCTTCATGCTGGATGTCATGTCTGGGCACCCACAAAACCAAGCAGTTCTATCTAACAGAGAGGGAAAAAACCCCATCCTGCTAGGATTGTAGTCTTAGATCTTGAATGTTTCTGTTGAAGACACTCAGGCTGGTGACTGTTTCCAAGTTTTAATGATTTGTCCCACATGTGGAGGCAAATGAAATCTTAAGACCTGACATTCCCTTCAACAAGTAGAAGAAATGCCAGTTTCCAGTGCTGAGGTAAAAATAGATTTGCAATATCTGTTAGACTAAAATAGTGTATACAGAGCAAGTGTGATGAGTGAGAAAAGGCCAAAGGCATCAGCACAGATGCTATAAAAAACTTTAAAAGTGTTAAACAATATGCTAAGAATGTGGAGTTGCTTACACTTTTAGTAAATGCATGAAACCTTTCCCATATTTATCCAGAGTATTCATGGTAATTCAAAGTCTTTTAGAAAACTTTGCAGTTGTTCTTGACTAATATCTTAACTTAAAGAACCAACAAGTGCTCTTCATTACAGCACTAAAAGGAGTCAGTAAAGACCTTTTGCTCTTCTCTCCTGCTTCATGCAAGTAAGAAGAGAACTCGACCCTCAGTTTGAGAATTGTCTGTGGATTGATATCCCTTCCCATCCCCATCCTTCCTATTTTAAGATACTTATTATTCTGTACTCTTAACTGCTTGGGAAAATCAGACTTTTGATATGGTTTTACACGGAGTTTAATTGACAATTGTCATAAATATTTTCTGTAATCTTAGATTAAAGATGTGATGGTCCTCAGTCATTTGAGGCTGGTCATTTACTGACTCTAGGGGACATCCACCTATTAGTGTTAAGCAAAGAGAAGGTTCCTTCAACCAAGTGATCCATGAAGGCCTTAAACAATAATATGAGTAATGAAACACATGTATTAGCATCTCATGCACTTACTTGGTGAGTATAATAGATATTTAATAAAATTACACTTCCTTAGTTGAAAACTTGTGAATCAAGATTGGATCATTTACCTTCTTGGTTTTTTACTTCTAGTAATAGAAATGGAATGCATGTAATAATTCTGGAGTTATGGCATTTATTCTGTTACATTTCAACAGAGATGTCTCAGGCTTATTCAGAGTTAAACAGTGCACGCTACTGCTGTGTTTATTTTTGGACCACAGTCTTAATGCAAATCCCATATATGTGGTTATGCAAAATGATCCAGATTCTGGTCATGATTACACTGGTGTACACACAGAGTTATGCCACAGTTTCATTGAGGAAGGAATCTGATCCTGTAACACAGAGGGTTGCATGGTATTTCCATCAAGTAGTTGATGTGTTTCACCATAGAGTTAGAGGTGAGGTATTAGTGTCTGAAGCAATTTTTGTACATTATTGACTTACATTTTTAACGCTTCCTGAGGTTTTTTTTGTGGGTTATTGTGCAACCATTAAATGAAATAATTGTTAAAATATTTCTGAAAAAATCAAATACTCTGCCTTGTCACTGTTTTTAAAATATTTTTCATGTCTTTTTAGCTGG